CGAGCAGGGAGCCCGATGCAGGGCTCAATCCCAGGACCCTGGGATCATGACCCGAGCTGAAGGCAGACGCTTAATGACTGAGCCACCCAGGTGCCCCCATTTTTTTGTTTTTTTTTTAACCAAGTGTGGTCTGGGACCATCTGCCTCAGAAATACCTGGAGAGCTTTAGAATACAAATTTCTATGCCTCACTTCAGATCTGCCTGATCAGAATCCTTGGGGTTGAGGCCTAGGAATATGAGTTTAACATTCTCCTCAAGTGATTTTTATGCTTATTGTATTAAGGGCATCACCTGCCAACAGACAGGCTAATTCAATTTAAGTGTATCTATAAGAGGAAATTGTGTGTGTGTGTGTGTGTGTGTGTGTGTGTGTGGTTATTGCTAAATCAGATTATTGACCAGAATGATTACCACTATAGTCCCTTTTTCCTGTAGACCAGGGCAGTCCTGCTTACTCAGCCAAGGATGTCATCAAAACCCCAGCTGGGCCTTTTGTATATGTCCATTTCACGTCTCACTGAGAGGTCTTATGAACAAAAACTAGAAAAATTATAGACAGTTTTAAAACCTTTTTAAATTTACAGACAGGGCACGTGGGTGGCTCATTCGTTAAGCGTCTGCCTTCAGCTTAGGTCATGATCCCAGGGTCCTGGGATCAAGCCCCGCATCGGGCTCCCTGCTCAGCGGGAAGCCTGCTTCTCCCTCTCCCACTCCCCCTGCTTGTGGTCCCTCTCTCGCTGTGTCTCTCTCTGTCAAAAAATAAATAAAATCTTTAAAAAAATAAAATAAATTTACAGACAAACACACACTTTCAAAAAAAAAAAAAAAACAAGAAGAACATTTGCAGTTCTTCCAAAGAATCCTAGCTTCATGGAGTTTTCCTCTTGGGAGTCTAAATGACTAGAGGAAATAGGCAGGAACTTCACAGGAACATTCTTAGGCATCCATTGCAAGCTTATACCCACACGCTGCCTTCCTTCTGTTTGAAAGTGTGGGGAAATGCTCTGCTTAAGCCTGCTTTGTTTCTCTGTATAGATCATGCAACAGATGAGTGACCACCGCTATGACAAACTCACTGTGCCTGATGATGTGGCCGCCAACTGTATATACCTAAATATCCCCAGCAAAGGCCACGTCTTACTACACCGCACCCCAGAAGAATATCCAGAAAGTGCAAAGGTAAAAAAACATCCTTCCTGGCCACTGCAGCTGCGTAGTCCTCTCCGTGACAGTCTTCCTGCCTGGGGATTTTTTTCATGACGGACTGACAAATAACAGGGACTTCCTTTTCCTCTATACAGGTCAAATCATTATGAAAGCAGAGAGGATACTATAATTTTAGGGCACAAGGAAAGTTAATTTAACTCACTCTTCTCATTCATGTCACTGATCGCGAATGCATGCACAATAATTGAGGTGATCATGCCTGGTATTCAAAACTTTTCAAATAAGTACTTAGATCTCCCAAGTCTATGCTGCAGTTCTGATTACATGTATCTCCCCACACTTAGATACTCACTAGGCATAGAGACCTACAATTAGATGGTCAACTGTGTCATTGTTTTCTGACGAATCTGAGCTGCCCTTCGTCAGAAAGGCATTTGTTTTTTAACGACAGAGAAGTGTGAATGATGCAAAGAGGTGGGTGCTCATTGTCAGGGCTGCAAAAAGGGGGCTTTTGGCTGTGCATCCCAGGTAGTGAAGGATCAGAAAGAGCAAAAAAGATGATATACTTGCCATCAGGCACCTGTCCCTCTAAGACCTTCTGCATTTGTGCCCCAACACAGGAATTGTCCCCAGATATGGAACTCTTTCCTGGTCTAAGAAGATGTTCCTTGTCCTTCTGGGCACTCTGCCAGTCTCTTCTGCACACGCAGACATAGCAGCGCTCATCCATAGACCCTCCAAGTGTCCATATCTGTTTCAGATCTTCATCTCTGCCCAGAGGAATCATATGCTTACACTCAGCATTACAGAAGAGCCTTTAATAGCCACTGATTTTTTTATTTATGTATCTTAAAAATTATAATTTATCTTTAAAAATTTTAGAAAATATTTTGGCCACCTTTCAGATATGTGATATTGTGTAAGCACTATGCTTATCTTCTGAATCAGTCATCTTCTTAGCAGATAAAAAGAAAAGGGTGGGGAGATACATAGATAATTTCTCTGTTTCCATGGCTGAAAGTGTGAACCTGAGGAAAATAGAGGACCCCTGACCCCAGAACGGGGCTTAACCAGCTCTCAGATGAATAGAGGGTCTCATACGTTATTGTGCATTAGGATTGTTAAAAATGCAGCTTCCTAGACCCCCACCCTAGAATCTGCAATTTCAACAAGCACCCGGGTCACAGAACTCACTTGGAGAAACACAGCTCTGGACCGTTCATTCTTCTCCAGCCACACTGATCCTCTGACGACCAGATGATGATTAACTGCTTTGGATTCAGCCCTGTGTCTATCCACAGTAACGATGATAACATCCACGTTCACCGAGACTTCCCCTGCGCCAGGCACTGGGCCAAGCCCGGTGTGTGCATTATCTTAGTTATACCCCACAGCAGCCCTGTGGGGGCACTCTTGTTAACTCTAATTTTACCGAATAGTAATCCAAGGCTAAGAGTGCGGCATCTGGCACTTGGCTGAAGTCACATTTTAGGTGGTGAGTTGACAGAACTAGGTTTGGAGCCCAGCTCTGGCTCCAGCACTCTTAATTAGCCACTGTAGTGAATTTTAAGGAACAAAGTGCTTCCTAAAGAAGCATGGCAGATTGTTTTTTAGACAGTGTTTTTCAAGTGATTTTGTATTTTTTAAAAAATGTGCTTTATTTGATCATCAGAGAAACATCTGTGGCCTGTTAATTCGAAGTTTGGACACATGCTTTCTATTAGTGTCAAAAGATGCTGTAAAATTCACACCTGTAATTTAAAAGCAGTTTGACCTGAAATGATTCACTTAAAGTCTATTTTGTCAAGTTCTTCCAGTGGTGTTGGAAGGAAAGAGACCTTACAGTACAGTTGAGGGGGTTTTAAAGTGTGGCGAGGAAGGATTCTCAGACTGAAAACACCACCACTAGCTCTCCCATTATCACTCAACGTTCCTGTGACAACGGCAGAGTGAAGTCATCTCTCGTGACAACCACATTTTTGACACATCTCTGGCTTTGAGGTTAAAGCATAGAGCTCGTGGTTAACCAGTGCCGCCTGCTCCGTTGGTATGGCTGGGGGCACGTGTGGTCTCTAGACTGCATGCACGTCTTGGGGTTCAACAGCTGAGAAGCCTGAACTCGAAAGCCAAATGCATTTTCACACTAGGCGAGGAGGTGGGGGGGAGCGGCAGGGATGAGACAGAGGCGGAAACATAATCCTTCTGCTTTACCTTTCCTTGATTCCTGCTGCAGGTTTATGAAAAGCTGAAGGACCATATGCTGATCCCCGTGAGCCATTCTGAACTGGAAAAGGTGGACGGGCTGCTCACATGCAGCTCGATTTTAATTAACAAGAAGGTAGACTCCTGAGTCGAAGTCCCCCCCCCCCCCCCCCGCCCCATAGCCGGCAATACCGCACTCACAAGGCCGATGACTGTCCTGCTCCTGTCGTGTTCATTGACAATCTGCTGCGCCACTATGCTGTTAACACTGGTTTACGAAAGTCTCCTAAGTTTGCTTCGCTCTGCACCCTCCCCTTCCTCCCCTTGCGGTGGTACCTAAACTGTGGGTTTTGCTAAATGAATTAAGCAATCTAGAAAATATAGAGCTAATGAATTATTGAACTGTGATTAATAATAGTAAAGAAACACTCATTTCAGTGTTTGTATTATCAGTGTGAATATATATATGCTGCTTAGTTGCCAATATATGCTAAAGAATGTCTTCTTGATCAGTCAGATAGGCCAGGGTTGTTTTTTTGGTTTGTTTTTTTCCTCTCTGTATCGGTAGTCATCTTTGGTTCCTGTGAAATTCCCTGGTCCCTGGCTTCCCTCCTTTTCCTTCCTTTTTTTCATCTGAACTCTGGAAATTTCGTTGCCAGTTACTTTCTTTTGCCTTTCTTCACTTCGATTACCTTGGGTAAAATCCACAGTCTTGCCTTCTGGATACCTTCCTGCAGGTCCCTCCTGTCTGCCACATTAGCCTCCTCTGGCCCATGGCTACATCTTCAGCCACCACCCTCACTCTCCCCAGGAAGGGCAAACGGGTCCCTCAACAGAAGTGTGACCAAAATCAGAACGGCTATTTGGGGGAGAGTTAACCAGGCAGAGGCATATCCTGATGGGGTTTGTCCCAGAGATCTGAATTCCAGAAGAAGTAGGGTACCACACCTAGGAAGGTAAATTCAGTTCCAGAGGGTTACTAGAGATCATAGATCAAGAAGCTTGGAAACACCCCATGGGTACATCTCAGAAAGTCTTTAAGTCACATTCCATGAATTTTTGCTTTATTACTGACCATTTATAGACCTTGGGAAATAGTCTTATTTTTTCCCTCAGCTCATTTCTCTTCCCACCCCCACTCATCGTGACTCACCCTACTTCCAGCCTTCTACCCCCTGCAATTATCCTGGTCTAGCAAAGTTACTGCTTTCAAAAGGCACAGTGCATCTACAAATGATTATTGATGGTCTAGTGAGAGCCAGATGAAGCATGTTCAGGAAGTGATCAGCTTGGTGCTTGGAACCGCAGACAAAGGACAATTCCACTTTCAAATATCTATGAATATATACTGTGGAATTCAATTAAAATTTCTGTCCTCGCTAGCTTTTAAATTACACAACCTGACACTGATGCTAGTCTCTTACAAAGAACAATGCCACAGTGAAGGGAGAGATCATTGTCTTTTACTTAAACCTGGAAGAATCAGCCTTTTAGCAGGCCAGGGAAATGGTACTTTCCAAGGAATGGTGACTGATTGAGGCATGTTATCAAACTTCCTAGTCATCTCCACCTTTCCTGTATTGCCTGTAGCTTGTTGTTCAAGATTAACAATCAGGGAGATTAAGGAATATGACTTCAAGGCTTGCTCTGCTTACCTGTGTGTTTCTTTTTTTCTTTTTTTTTTGAAGATTTATTTATCTGAGAGAGAGTGCATGGGTGTGGGTGGGGGAGGGGTAGAGAGAGAATCTCAAGCAGACTCCCCGCTGAGTGTGGAGCCTGACCTGGGGCTTGATGTCATGACCCTGAGATCATGACCTGAGCCGAAATCAAGAGTCAGACACTTAACCGACTGAGCCACCCAGGCGCCCCTTACCTATGTATTTCTAACCAAACATTTCTTATGTTTGGTGACCAAGATAGAATTCCCTCCATTCATATCTCTCCTTAGCAAATGGAAGTGATAAACCTCTGAGAAAACCAAGACATCCTTAGCCACCACCTATCTTTTTCATTTATTTGATGATTTTATGCCAGAATTTGAAGAAATTCCTGCTCCTCCTTTTTGCTTAACTGCAAAATGCAGATATCTTAGTTACAGCATCCTATGAATGAACCATATCTTGGTCACTGTCTTATTTCAAAGTGTCTCATCATGGGTGAAGAGTGTGTTTTTACCAGAGAGAAAACGATTGTTACCCACATGGTCTAGTCAATAAGGAAAAATTGTCCTCTACGATTATGGTTGCCCTTTTGGGTTAAATCTGGCCCTGTGCTGGCAAAAGCAGAACTTCTCCCTGGGAGAGTCCAACATCTCAAAAACAACCTCGGGAAAGTTAACGCAGTCAGCCACCTTAGGATTACTATTAAAGCTAAGTGGCGTATAATTTTCAATATATTTACTTCTATCATCCCAAATTGAAGAACTATATTTAGTCAATTGCAAGTGAATTGATTTTTCTTTTGAACAATTTGTCCTGTAGAAGGCTCTCTTTCACTTTTTCTTTCCTTTGCTTCTGTCCCTCTTTGCTCCTCTGTCTCAAGAAATCACTTAGTATCTATGTGCCTCTTCCACAGAATTGTTTTGTCTGCTATGTCACTAAGACTGTCTTCTTTGTACTCCCTGTGATATGACAGTGTGAAAAGCCAAAATATCTGCAGCATAGTAGTAGTATTTTTTGATGTTCTCATCAGCATAACGTTATCTTTGCAGAGGAACGATGACCCGTTACATAGGTTCCCCTCGAGTCCATTATGATTTATAAGGATAAATAAACTAACACAAGCTGCTCTTTGACATTATAAAGGCATTAGGAATGGTATTAAAGTAAGGAAAAGTTGAGTCTGAATTACTGGGGTAGTAAGATTCAATCTAACAGGGGCAATATAGAGAAAGTACATTATTTAGCATTATCTCTTCAACTATAATGGATTGCTATAGAAATCAGCAGGCAGATCTATAATGTGTATTGATTGCTCTTTAAGCTACTGTGAACAGATTACTAAGGCTATCTCTTCATCTCTAAAGGGGAAATAGTCTATAGATGAATAATGTGACTTATATAGAGTTGCATGTTAAAATTCATAATTATTTACTCTTTAACATTCTACAGAATTTAGCCTTGGTCTCAACATGGTGTTAGACTTGTGCATTTTGTTTTACTGATCATCACACTGCAGCTAATGTACGATTATCCACTCTGTGTACCAAAACCAGTCTTGCCTTTCATGACCCTCTAGTCCAGAGAAGTTCTGCACTGATTTTAATCTCTTGCTGTCCTGATGCTACAAGTATACCAATCATGATGGAATAAAGTGTGAATTATACTATGACCAACAGCACATGTCTCTTTTTTTGCAACAGAAACTGCTGTAGGAAATGCAGTCACCATTGCTTTGCTGTCAGAGATGGGAAGTTTTCTCTGTTGTCCCATAATTAGAAATACTGTGCCTGTAAATCAACTGCCATCAAAAGCTTGGATTAAAATGATACCTGAAGTGATGCTTCATACTGCAAGCACTTAAAAAGCGTGCATGACACCCATGCGAGGTCAAGAGGTCTTGATTTCACCTGTGCTCCTCCTTGGAGGCTTCTTTTTTCCCTTTTGCTCCTAACTGTGGTCAGCACATTATATGGCTCAGTCGTGGAAGCAGTGGAACAGGTTTTCTCTCATTCATGCAAGAGTTTGGTTGTGGTTTTTGTTTGTTTGTTTTACAGTAAGCATCTGTTAGGACATTTGAAGATTTTTTTAATGAGTCTTTTTTTATTTCCAACCATTTTTTTCTAGCTGAAAGCAGCTTTATTGTTTTCCTTTTCTGATTGTAAAAATAATTGCTCACCATAAAAATAAAATTCAAATAATACAGAAGCAACTGTAAAAACAAAAGTAAAGAAAAAAAATTACCCCAAATTTCATCACAGAGATGCCATTGTTAACATTTTGAAGACTATCCACCCATCTATGAGTAGATACAGATATAAATGTGGAATAATTTTACATCATCATGCTGTTCTATAGCTTGCTTCCTTTACTTAGCAATAGATTGCAGGCATCTCTCCATGTCAATAAATAGAGATCTACATCATCAATTTTAACAACCCTGAATATTCCATGATACAGTTGTCGAAGTAGCTCTTTCTAATTTATATGGAGTGTTAGATCACAGATGTTCAGTATGCCCATGTTGCTAGTAGCCTGGGGTCTTCAAACTGTCAAAAATGTGCTGATTATGAGGCTTCACACATACCCAGAGTTAGTTCAATCTGGTGTCTTCTTATGGAAACTGAATGGTACGTGCAAATGCTCACTAGAAGCACTACTATTAAAATTCCTTAAAGAGGTCGTTGATCTATTCATACCTTCTCAGTTGATGTTGCATTAATTAGTTCTCCCTTATTCAAGCCAGCACTGAAAGGGGCACAGAAGCTAAAAAAAAAAAAAAAAAAAAGCCAACTACCACCCCTGCACACCTGCCCTGGGCCCCCTTAGGCAATGGAACCCTCCACCTAAGTGCCAGAGTATTTACTCCTCACAGAAGAGAATGGAGACACTTTTTGAAGGAAGAGTTGGCAGGGTTTCCGTGACTGATCTTTCTCCCAGCCTTCCAGAAGGATGGCGGAAGGTAAGAAGGAGAAAAATCCCCTCTCGTGACAAACTGCAGATTCTGGAAATGGGACTTTTGCTGAATGAATAATGCTGGTCAACAATAGTTTTAGACGGGTGAGCACATGTTTAACAGGCTCTAGGGTACTGCTCCTGTCTTTCCAGAGCTGGCAGTCTGGGAGGGGCTTGGAAGGAAGACTACACAAGATTACAAATGATTACAACACAAGAGAAGGTAAGGTAAGAACTTAAAAGAACAGCACTGTGGTGGTTCCCAAGAAGGGGAAACCTGATGGAGGAACCTGGGCTTGATCGCCTTGGAAGAACTGCCCTGGCTTCAGTAGGCCAAGATAGGAGGTCAGGCCTTTGAGGCGGAGGAAACAGCATGAGCACAGGCATGAAGGTGGTAGAGCATAGCGAACACTTCAGAAGTGTCCATCATGGACCAGTTAACGCTACTAGACTCTGGGGGTACAATGGTGACAGGACCTGCTTTCCTGGAATTTACATCCACAGAGGAAGATAGACATTAAACAAGCTATGGCATGTGCAGTGAACATTTGGAAAGAGAATGGGGTGCTCAGAGCAGATGACGGGCAAGCAAGTGGGTTTGTTTGGCTGACACATGGGGAAATATAAGAGCACAGCGAGATGATGTAGGTTGGGATGTCAACAGTCTGGCCTGCTAAGATAGGATATTAGGACTGAATTTGGCAGTCTGTGAGGATCTCCTGAAGACTTTGGGGTCAGGGAGTGAAATTACTGGAGCTTGATATGGCAGCATTGTATAGGATGATGGGAACTGAGACTGGCGTTTCTCTAAGTTTAATTTCCCCTAGTTTACTTTGTCATTTAAACATCTCTTCTTATCTCCAAAATGGAGCCTGAAAGCTGGGCAATTATCTCTCTCTCTCTCTCTCTCTTTCTCTATATATATATATATTTTTTTTTTCTCTTCCTCTCTCTCTCTCTCTCCTGAAAAACAAATTAATAACACCTTTCCCTCCCAACTCCAAAGGGACCTTTTCAACACGAATGAGATGAAAGGACTGAAGACTTCTTTGGAAGAAAGGTATAATGTAAATATCATTATCATCATTATCCTCATTAACTCCTATCACAGCAAGTCAGGATCCCATCAAAATGTCATCTTCTATTTGAAACATCAATCACCACTCCAGAAATAACTCAAGATTTTCATCATTGATGCCTCTAAGCTAGCCTGACAGCTTCCAAGATGAATTCACAGGTTTCCTTGGTAGCCGACACGGCTGTTCCGAAGACATACTTGCATTAGGGAACTGTTGGTAAGTCGGAATTTTCCCCAACTCCCTTCCCCCTCCAAACACTCATTTCTAACTCAGTGAAAGCTGGTCACTTATAGCACAAGATAACTGGGGTTATCAGGCTTTAAGGAGAATGTGTAAGAGCCAAATATGTTACTGTCACTATAAATAAATAAAAGATTCAAACCAGTATGCCAGCTAACCTCTTGGTAAAATATAGCTTGGACTGGCTTGTGACATGAATGCCTACAAGTAATGATTGGTCTCTAGGTCTTGGGAAGCCCCCTCTATTTATAAATAGAAAGTTTAGTCATCTGGCTATGAATACAAAGAAAGAGCTTGAGTGAATTAACAAAAACCTAAGAAGGTAGCTTGCTTTTTCCTACAGTTAAACTTTAAAAATAATTTTTTAAGTTCCTGCTCATGGACAAGGAAACTTATTGATTAGCTAGGAAGGACTTTGGGACAGAACTCAGAGGATAACAGCTTCAAATTAAATTAGGAAACCATGTGCTATGTGTTGAAATTCCCCACTATCCCTCAAGGGTACAAAGACTACATATTTCATATTGAGGCAGAAAAGGTTCAGGAAACAAACAAGTTCTGATTCTAAGCAACAGTCAAGCTATGTAGAAATGTTACCTCTTCTGCCTCTGGAAAGAGCTTGTGGAATAAACAGATTCATGGATCCAACAGAGGCATCAAATTCCAGGGCAGGATATGAACAAAATCATCTGTTTTGTTTACGTGGGACCCATGTGAGCATATGAGGTCCCCTAGAGTTAATGCTAGGACAGCAACATGGGGCTTGCTTCCTTTCTAGGCTTGATTATAATTGGGAGAGACTGAAGGAACATTGTTATCATGGAAGGATGGTAACAAGGAGTTTATCTGATAGGAAATAGAATTCACCCCCCCCGCCCCCGCTTTAGATCAAATAAAGAGATTTTAATGATGGTCTGTGTCAAAGATATGCATGTTGAGGGTACAAACAAGGGTGGTGATACCCCAAAACCAGCTGTCAGCCGCACCCCTAGGCCCAGCAGGACAAGGACAGGAAATCATGCTACTGCATCTGATACAGAGAAAGGACCACAGCTCCAGGCCGAGACCAGATTCCAGAACAGGGAAATATACCTCAGCCTCTCTCTTCCCACTCTCTGATCTGCTGGTGCTCCCCACTGACTGAACACAATGGCCAGATGGCTAGTGGGGGAGCCCAGGCAATGCCTTCTTCAGAGGGGAACCTCCTGAGCCATGGAGCTGGCAGAGAAGGGCAGAGAAAGGAGCTGGAGGGGGTAGAGGATAATCACAATGCCACTATGAAAATGAGCTCTTAGCCCTCCGGGGAGTGGCTGTCGCCAACTCTGTCTCTCAAGGTTGGCCTTTAAATCATATTTCTTGGCGAACTCCTTAGGCACATGCCAGTTCCATGATCTGGTTCTCCCTCTCTGAATATCAGAAAATGATTGGAGCAGAATCAACAGTAGGACATGAGTCTGCAGTGCCAGCGGGTAAGAGAACATCACATTCCAGACCCATGAGTCCTGGACCTCTTTAGTAAGCACTATGTTAATTCTAAAATTAGAGCAATCTCTGGGGCACCTGGTGTTCAAAAACAGCTAAGTGCCTTTTTACAGCATGCTCATGACCTGCTGGTGACATAAAGTTGTTTAGGATTCCACAGAACCTATTTTCTCTGTTTCCCCTTTTGTTTGTACACACAGCCGATCCCGCTAGGCAAAAGCTGTGTTTGGTTTTACATGGTTATGTTGTTCATGGGGATAATATTCAGTCTGAACTCATCCGGTTAGTTCTCCATTCCTGGAGGTGTTCAAGCAGAGACTCAAGGACCACAAGCAAGAGTGGTTGTGGAGATTGCTGTAGGGGGTAAAATCTGATCTAGATAACATCTAATGTCCTTTACCACCCTGCAGTTCTATGATTAGGTATTTGTGCTGTTCTGATTCCCAGGGGATTTCCTTCCCACTCTGGGCCCCACCACCCCAGGCTCTATATGAACATTGTTCTCATCTAGTAAATAACAATACTAAGAGTTCCACTTCCAGCATGATCACAGGAAGAGATCTGTGGACTGACTCTCCAGCAACACTGATGGACATTTTTTTTGATGAGTCATTTTTTCCAGGTTTATTCAGGTATAGTGCCAAAATTGTAGTGTATTTGCACTGTACAGCATGGTAATTGGATATACATATACATAATGAAATGATTCCCACAATCAAGTTAAGTTAGTTAAGTAATCAATTACTTTTACATAAATAATATTTTTTAGTGAAATACTCAAGGTCAGCCCTTTTAGCCAGTATCAAGTATACAATACAGTATTATTAACTACAGTTCCCAATCTGTACACTCGATTTTTTTTTTTTTGAAGTACAGTTGACACAGATTATTTTTTTAAAGAAACATTTAGAGCCTCTGGAATTGGTTGTATGCGCATTCATCAAGTGAAGAAACAGTCAAGAAAATCTTCTGAACTTGTTGAGATCAGTGAGAACCTGTGGTATTTGCACCCTTCTTTCTTCCCTCTCAGCTCGGTGAGAGAGACCTCCACTCCAGACTGAGAGCTGAGAACACAGAGCCCTCTCTCCCCACAGGTGAGAGAGACATCTCCATTGTTCATTCTGCCCCCAGCCACCTGTTGCTGAGACTAAATTCTGGGCAAGTGTGTCTGAAAAGTGGGGCTCCCCTCTTCCACCCAGCCTCACTTGTATGGGACAGAGGCTCTTTGAGACACTTTGATCACTGCACCAAGAAGAATATGGGGCCCTGAACACCCTTCCCCTAGCTCATGGGATGGGGGTTCTAGCCAGAAGAGGCAAGCCAAAAGGACCTGAGGCTACAGTCTCCCCTTCAACTAACATTCACCAGCTAAAACAAAGACATCACTTTAGGAAGAGCTCACCATTTTCCCTGCCCCCAGCTACAGAACCAAGCCTCAGATTTTGCCCCTGGGGGAGAAGCAGGCTACAGAACAAAGAGCTTCAAATTCCTCACCCAAGAATTGACTTCATTTGCAACTGTAGTGTAAAGAAGTTCAAGTCTAAAGGTGCTCTCAAAAACAGTGGAGGTTGTAATGAAAAGCAATTAGGAAAAGATTGGTAGATTAGGCTAAACTTTAGGCAGCCAGCTTGAAAAAGGAAGAAGTAAAACTACCCCTGTTGACACCTAACATGATCTTCTATATATAAAATCCTGAGGAATCCACTAAAAAATAATTAAACCTAATAAAAAGAGTTCACAAGGTTTTAGGATACAAGACCAATATCAAAAAATCAATTGCATTTCTATATACTTGCAATGAACAATCTGAAAGTGAAATTAAGAAAAACAATTCCACTTACAATAACATCAGAAAGAATAAAATATTTAGGAATAAATTTAATAGAAGTGCAAAGCTAATGCTCTGAAAATGACAAAACATTGTTGAAATTAAGAGCTAAATAAATGGAAAAATCTCTCATGTTCATTGATTAGAAGACTTAATAGTATTAAAATGGTGATACTTCCCAAATTGATCTACAGATTCAATGCAAAATCTATTAGAATCTCAGCTGACTTCTTTGTAGAAATTGACGAACTGATTCTAAAATTCATATGGAATTACAAGATCCCCCAGTATCCAAAATACTGAAAAAGAGAAAGTTGAAGGACTGACACTTCCCAATTGCAAACTTCAAAAGCAACAATAATTAAAATAGCGTGGTACTGACATAAGGATAGACATATAGATCAATAGAATAGAACTGAGAGTCCAGAAATAAATCTATGTTTTTATAGTCAACCGATTTTCAGCTAGGGTGTGAAAGAATATATAATGAGGGGAAAGGATAGTTTTCTCAACAAATGCTGCTGGGACAACTGGATACCCACCTCAAAAGAATAAAGTCAGACTCTTCCCTCACACCATATACAAAAATTGACTCGAGGGGCACCTAGGTGACTCAGTTGGTTAAGCATCTGCCTTCGGCTCAGGTCATGATCTCAGGGTCCTGGGATTGAGCCCCACGTCTGGGCTCCTGCTCAGTGGGGAGCCTGCTTCTCCCTCTGCCACTCCCCCCTCTCATGCTCTCTCTCTCTCAAATAAACAAATAAAATCTTTTAAAAATAAATTAATTAATTTAAAAAATGAACTCAAAACGGGTCAGATATCTAAATGAAGAGGAAAAACATAAAAGTTCTTAGAAGAAAACAGGAACAAATCTTCATGACCTTGAATTTGGCAATGGATTCTTAGATATGACCCCAAAAGCACAAGCAACAAAAGAAAAAAAAAGAGATGAATTGGACTTCCTCAAAATTGAAAACTATGTGTTTCAAAGGATACCATCCAAGAAAGTTAAAAGACAGTTCACCAAACGAGAGAAAATATATACAAATCATATATCTGATAAGGTATTACATTTAGAATATATAAAGAACTCTCATAACTCAATAATAAAAAAAGACAACCCAATTTTAACATGGTGAAAGAATCTGAAGAAGCATCTCTCCAGAGAAGTTACACTGGTGACCAATAAACATATGAAACATCATTAGTTATCAGGGATCAACATCTCTGATGCAAATCAACATCACCAGGAGATACCACTTCATACCCATTAGAATGAGGAGAATTAAAAAGTCGGATAATAAAAATATTGGCAAGGATGTGGAGAATCAGAACCCTCATACATTGCTACTGGGAATGTAAAATGCAGCCACTTTGGAAAACAGTCCGGCAGTTCCTTAACATGTCAACATTCAGTTACCATATGACCCAGCAGTTACCCTCCTAGGTATATACCTAAGAGAAATGAATGCCTATGTCCAACAAGAACGCTTGTTGCAGCATTATTCAAAATAACTGAAGGGTAGGAACAACCCCAATGTACACCAAGTGATGAGTGGATAAACAAAATGTGTTAGCTCCACACAATGGAGTATTATTGAGCCATAAAAAAGAATGGAGTATTGATACATGCTACAACATGAAGGAACCTTGAAAACATTATACAAAGGGAAAGAAGCCAGTCACCAAAGACCACTTATTGTATGACTGCATGTATGTGAAATTCCAGAATAGGCAAATCAGTGGAGACAGAAAGATTACTGGTTGCTCAGGCAGAGAAATAGAGGGAGTGACAGCTTGGGAATAGAAGGTTTCTCTTAGACAGAATGAAAGTGTTCTAAAATCAGTTGTGGTGGTGACTGTATATATCTGCATATATGCTTAAAACCCTCGAGTTGTATACCTTAAATGGGTGATTGGTACATGAATGATATCTCAATAAAACTTTTTTAAATAACCGTAATAATACTCTTTGTCCTATTCATATCTCAAAGGGTGGTTGGGAACTTCGAATGAAAGAATTTATGTGAAAGTACTTGGTACCCTATGCCGTGCTATACAAATGTAGCCTATTATATTCCTGAATGGGACCAATCAGCTTTTCCACCAGCACCTGTCAGTGCAGAACTCATAAGCTGTCATTCCTGAAACTACCTTAGCCCCCAATTAGATTTCCTTTTCTTCAGTAGTTAAAATTCATTGACAAATTCATTCATTTCACCCTTGAAATAGCTTTGCATAATAGTTGCTTGTGGAATGCTTCTTACCATCACAGCCTTCTTTTAAAAGAGGAAATAACGTTTCTTTTGTATGTTTTTCTAAAATTCAGCTCAAGTGTGCATAATTACCACACATACCAAGTTCCTCGCTGCATCAACCATGAAGTCCGCATGGTGTGTATAATAATGTGCTAACTGGTAATCATTCCTTTCCTCTCAAGTTCCCAAACCCCTCATTATATTTTGGCCATCGCTATGCTCTTCTGAGCTGTGGTGAACAGTAGTCTGAATAAGCAAAAGGAGATGAGAACGATATTGAAAGAATCTGGTTTTTGGCCAGGTGAGCCTATGAATGCAGCACCAGCGCACCATTTTTAGATAGGAGAAGGAGGGAGAAATTAAGTGACCCTTTCCGGTGGCATTTTCTTTACTTGGCTGACCTGGCCAATCGGCGGTCTAAATAACCCTAGCTTTTTCATCCCATTATACAGCCTTGGACCCCAGCCACATTTCATTTGGCTTGCAAGCAGCCGATGTCTTCTTGATCTCTTTTTTACATTTTGCAAATAGTATCTAATGATAAGAGCTTTTTTGTAAAGCTCTACGTACCTGGTATGGTGCCAAGAGGTGTTATGTGCCTCCTCACGAATGCCTTATGAGGCAGATGGCAAAACCAAGTCCCAGAGAAACTTAGTCACTGGACAAAGTCACACAGCTGGTGGATGTGGCACCAGGGCTCAAACCCTGATTCTGTTTGAACAGCAGAGCCCGTGCTCTTCATCATTGTTCTGTGCTGCGCACTGAAAACTAGTGCCCTCTTACAGTCTCCAAATTGTTACACATCAAGGCATTTTCAGAACGTGTGAAGTTTTCCTACCTCTGCTTTTCCACATTAACCTGGATCTGGGAGTCTGTACTGCCCCTCTCTCCCAGAGGCATCCCTTGGTTGAGCCTCAAAAACAAAGGAAGCCTGGACATCCTCTGTGGCGGACAGCAGTTTTTATAGAGAAAGTGTGGAGTAACAGCGCTCCCAGGTGGTCATGTGCATTTTCTCATGTGGCCTTTAGGCGAGAAGTGGGAAGAAGACAGCTGCCACTGCTGACCTGGTGGCCTTCGTGGTACGTGTGTGTGACCCCAGAGGACCTGGCTGTGGACGTGGGCAGATTCCAGGCCTGGACTATCCCACCGTGACTGAAACCAGAAGTGCAGTCAAAGTCCCAAGAGAGGTGTTGAAGATCCATGCAGACCCATAGGAAATCTGAAGGAAGGCTTCGTGGCCAGGAAGCTGCCTCCTGCCACCCACTCCTTGGCCCACACCTGCATCTCCTCCCATGGAGCACCAGCTCTAGCTAAAGCTTTGTTTCCTTGCTGGAGAAAAAATCACCAAGTCCTTAGTAATTATTCACATCTTCATGTGAGATATGTCCATCTGGTCCATCCCTGATAACAAGTGTTTCAAGGGAAAGAGAAGAACATAGGGATGATGAGAGCCAGGAGCAGCGGGGGAGGCAAGAACTAGAGAAAGGAAGAGGAATCAAAGAGAGAGAGAAGGGGGAGGGAGAGGGGAAAGGGCCCCCAGGAAGGGCCCAGGAAGAGAGGAGAGGGGTGTAGCCCAGTCCCCTCTGCAGTCTGAATCAGTCCTCATTGCCCCAGGCTTGAGAAGCAGAAAGAACCTGCAAGGCAGTGTGTTCAATACAAAAGACATTCCAATAGCTCCCCACTGGGCTCCCATTGTGGTGGCTTCGTGTATAGTCGGCTCTCCAGAGAAGCAGAATGAACAGGTCAGAGAGGTAGGCAGGTAGACAGATTTACTGTAAGGAGTTGGCTCATGAGATTTGGGGGCCTAAGAACTCATGATCCACAGCCAGTGAGCTGGAGACTCGGCACAGCCCCGTGATAGAGTGCCAGTTCAAGGCCAAGGGCCCCAGAACCAGGACCCTGGGTGGTGCAAGTTTCAGTCTGAGTCCAAGTCCGAAGGCGAGGAAGACTGGTGTCCCAGATCAAAGAGGCAGAGAGAGAATTCTTAGTCGGCTTTTTATTCTTTTCAAGCCCTTGGTGGGACGAGGCTCACCCACACTGGGCAGGGCCATCTGCTTCACTTACTCTACGGATTCGAATGTTAACCCATCCAGAAACATGCTCCCAGACACACCCTGAAATAATATTCAACCGAATATCTGGGCACCCTCTGGCTCAGTCAGGTTCACACATAAAGTTAGCTATCCCACTCGGCAACAGCCCGTGGTGGTACACCACTTTGTGGTTGTTTGTGTCCAGGCTGTTCTCACCCTAGACAGTAGAGCTAAGGGCAGAAACAGCCCTTTTGCACACCATAGCCCCAGCATCTGACACAGTAAGCGCTCAAGATGTTTGGAAAGTATAAAAACAGACAAATGAACAAACTCACAGATTTGTGCCCACTATAAAGAATATATAGTACTGGTCTCATTACACAGTAGAGGACGGTAAGCTCTGAGTTCCGGGCCGTGCATGTCATCAATTCTCAGAGCTTAATATGGTGTTTGACACACAGAAGGTGCTCAATAAATGTTTTATGACCCAGGGACCATTGAGTGATTCCCTTCTTAGAGATGGGGCTGGCCTTGCGTTTCCCTTGGAGCTTACTGAAAACTAATCCCGCTTCTTGTCCGAGTCTGAGAACAGGCTTTTACGAATTGGTATCTTTTACATTCGCTTCAGATTTCAGAAGGCTTTGTTTGCAAAATCTCCTTGCCTGCTGTCACCACAGTGAGGAGAAACCGTCAGAGTGCCATCGGACCCCGTGGGGGGAAGCCAGGAAGGTTGTATGATTAGTGCTGTCTGCGAGCGGCCGGCAAAAGCTCCATGGGCCCTTCCAGGGGAGAAGGAAAATCCTGATTAAATAGAGCCGGTCACAGCCCGGGAGCCTGCTGAGCTATAGGAGAGTTGCCCTAACGCTATGAGACAGGTTTCCAGAACAATTTGGGAAAGTGTAAAGAGATCCAGTCCAAGTTCATCTTCCTTGCTGGAAGTCTCTGCTCTTCAGGAAAAGCAAGGAAGAGAGATCTACCTTTGGGACTTCCGTGTCTTAGTTTTGCCTGTGGAAAACAGTGACGGTGATCCCAGAGAGTCACAGAAGTACGGGTTGACATACTCCCTCCTCAGGGAGGAGGTCGGGCTCAAGGAAAATCAAACCGCCAGTTAGTCGCCACTTCGGACCACTCACAGAAGTGCGACGGGGTGGTAGTGAAGACGTGAGCTCTGGAATCAGAACTGCCCTCCAGTGGAGGCTCTATCATCTGCTGGCTTGGGCCATTACAGTGGTGACACCAAAAGGTCGCTTATCCACCCATGATCTCCATCAGACCTCAAGCTGTTCCAAACAAAGACAATACATTGTAACGAACAGTTGGAAATATTCTCAATCTTATGTGACTATAATCATATTAGAAAATGTTGGGGGGGGTTTGTTATACATGAACTAAGTTAACATGGCGTGCTTTTTATACAAACACAGATTCAAGACCAACCCCCTATCAGTCCCCACAACATTTCAAACCAGTTCACTACCCTAAGCCCCTCCTATAGTTAAATTCTGGAGCCAACCCTGGCAAAGCATTTGCTTTCAGTAAGACTCAGTTTCCTCCTCTATTAAGACAATAAAAGTTGAGGGCGCCTGGGTGGCTCAGTTGGTTAAGCGACTGCCTTTGGCTCAGGTCATGATCCTGGAGTCCCTGGATCGAGTCCCGCATCGGGCTCCCTGCTCAGTGGGGAACCTGCTTCTCCCTCTGACCCTCCCCCCTCTCGTGTGCTTGCTCTCTCTCATTCTCTCTCTCTCAAATAAATAAAATCTTTAAAAAAAAAAAAAAGACAATAAAAGTTGATAGAGTTATTGAGTACTTCCTGTTTTCCGGGCACTGAGCAAACAATTTTTATGTGATTTTTCTTATTTAATCCTTACGACAACAGTATAAAGTCAGGCCTTTCCTCTATGTGCCTCAGTTTCTCAAGTTGTATGATAGAGATAATAATGCCCACCTCTTGGTGTTGGAGTGAAAGTTAAAAAGTTACTTGCTTATCTCAGTTACTCTGCCTCATAAAATACCGCGTTCCCAGATTACTCTAATTTCATTCTGCACCCTGTGAAAACTGGTCATTTGCCATCGATGACGTCAAGAGCCAAAGTGTATCCCATTCTCAATATCTGGGGGGTGACTGCCTTTGGGTTCCCAATCTGGATGTCACTCTCTTCTCAGTGGCTTTTTGTCAGGGCCCCTTCCCTCTTGAGCAGCTTTCGTCTCAGACAGACTCCTCTTCACTGAAGTGCTGCAAACTCAATTATTGGCAAAACTTCATATAACTTTGTTCCCGGTATTTCAAAGTAAATCATCACGCACCATGAGTCTGCACTTCTCTCTCTACCTATTTTACCCCTGTCTTCAGCAAGTAGTCTCCTTTCTCTTTTGCTAACTCCTTTCATTGATCCTAATGTTTGCCCAGCTCCTCCCAGAGATTTCAGATATTATCTGACACTAGAGTTGGATTGGACAAGTCATTCAGCTTCCCAAAGGCTCAAATACTTCTGTTATAAAACTGCATTACACCTCCCACGTAGGTCATTAGGAGAATTTTAGAGGATATCATTCATGTTCCTCTTCTGTGCATTTGTAATACATTGAAGGTCCTCAATAAATGGGACTTTTCTTCCACCCTTGTCAGGCCTGCCCCAGAAAACCCCAAAAGGACATACGTGGAAAAAATCTAGCTCTGGTATGCCAGCCCAGATTCGAGGAGAAGCCCCCTCAGCACCAGCACAGCAAGACTTTCAAGGCCCAAGACCTGAGCCCTGGGTCATGTGATCTGCTGCGAGGCAGTGTGTTGCCTCACTCAGCAGTGGAAGTGATTGTTGGAATCTGATGCAGTTGGAGACAGAAAAGACAATAATCTCACACCTCTATGATCTTTCAATGTGGCAGATACTCTGAGACCATTAAACATGACTTTCGGTTACATAGCCAAGCACACTTGCACGGGACGGGGTGGGGGAGGGGGTCCCCGGGCATCTCCCCCTCCCTGACCTTGGTCTAATTCACCTGCGACCTCCATCTCTCCAGCCCCTTTATTTTTTCTATTCTTCTTCCTCTTGTCATCCTTTCCTGTAAATGGAGATCATATTAATACAATGAGGTTGTTAAGTACATCAAAGTAGATGTGTCTAAAAGTGCTTTGTTTACTGTAAGGTGCTGTACAGAACGTATGTTTCATTGTTTTATTTTTCAGCACAGAAACTCCTCTCTATGTGTCACATACCATCAGTTAAAAGGGCTGATTTTATTTGGGGTGGGGGGAGGGAATGTTTGTTTGGTTTTAGGGTCTATGGCTTTTTTGTTTTCTTGTTTTCTAGTTCTGGTTTCTGAACATTCCAGTTCGTAAGGGAATTTAGTGGCATTTTGAAAACCCAGCTGGCCTCCCAGCATGGCTGAGATAGAGACATGATTCTCTGGAGAAAGAATTCTCACCCTGCAGCTTGCTACATAAACTTGCTCAGGTGAGAAGTGGCTCAACTCCAAACTCACACCTGGCTCTCCGAGTGTCTGTCCTTGTGACTTTTGATTTGGGGATTGGATCAGAAACCACAATAAGTTTCCTTTGTCCTAACGTATAAGACTTATCTCTCTCCAAATTGGCAGGTGCTCAGGCTTCTGACTGTCAAATGCAGCAGCTCCAGAGGACCCTTTGAGGTGCCCTGCAAGACCCTGTTGGGGGCTCAGTAACAATGCTTTACTTCCCAGCCTGAGTTCTGAACCATTGAGAAGTAAGGCAAAAGACCCAAGAGAGACCAAAATGTCTCATTTTTTGCTGATACAGGTTAGGCTGGAAAATCTAATTCGTATCTGTTGGCAAGTAGAACCTCAGCTTTAGGCTGGACCCTGTTAAGGGAGTGCTGGACCAGAGCAAGCCTCCCCCTCCCATCCCATCCCCCCCACCTCCCCCACCCCCAGAAGTGGGGCCGAGCCCCACCTGGAAGAGCTGAGCAGAGCATGTGCTCACAGCACAGGAGCCTGCTCCCAGCGGGAAAAAATGAGGCACTGAGCCAAGCTCCCGGTTTTCTTCCCAAGTTCACCGAGGAGAAGGAACTCTGCCCTAGACTAATCCTCGCCAAGGGCTATTCTTTGCTCACAAAGTCTCCTTGAGGCAAGTGTTTACAGAATGACAATTTCCTTCAAGAGGGACATCTGGTTACCCTATGATCTATTCTCTTCTGACATAGTCATTAACACACCTCTATTGCATGCTCTTCCTGGTGTTTACCACAAACCCCAGTTGTGTTCTGGCATTCACACCTCCCACCACTGCAGTCACTTCTTCCACTTACCTAACACCCAACACCTACTCACCGCCAGCTGTAATCTGAAGGCACGCACGACACAGTGGCCCGAGTTAGCGTCTCCTCTTGAGCCGTTTAAATGATACAACCTATCCCTCTTTTGTCCTTACATAGGCACATTCTGTTGGCGGTTTCCATATTTTTGGATTCCAGTGTCGTTAGTGTTACATGAACCCACAACAACAATAAGTGGAAAACCTAATCATTGTGGGGTTTTTTGTTTAAGTCTGTTCCATTCAAATGAGTCATACCATTAAGTAAATACCCAGTTTCCTTTAAGTGCTTAATCAGTTACACAAGTACCAAAGAGTTCACTCTGACCCTGTGTTGTGTTACGGTTTTTTTCCTTGTTCTGTAAAACTTTCGTTCTTGGATTACACATTTTCAGGGATGACTGCCAATTCCTCCTTTCTCCTCTGCCTTCCTCTGAGCATTGTGTGTGTGTATTTTCATGTCAGTGTCCTAGTCCTGCAAATAAAAGCCACCTTTCCTGTTTTTTCAGCAAATTGAATCAATTCCAATTTTCTTCTGGGCTTCCCTGTTAGTGTTCCGTGTGCATGTTTTGCTGGATTGTTCCAATAAGCTTCCCACTCTGTTTCAAAGGCATCTAAGGTAAAGAGCAATACGCTGGAAAGGAATTGAACGATCTGAGTTCTGAGCCTCCTCCCTGGGGGCCCCAGCAGCTGGGCAGGTGTCTAAGGGAACTTGGCAGGTAGTTGTATCCTCCCCTGTGCTTCCGTTATCTTCCAACAACACTTTATACTTCCTTCGGCTATGTACACACCATCTGTTATTTTCATAACTTGCTCCTCTGTCTTTCTCTTTACCTACTCGGGGAATCCACCAAGGCAAAACTCTGTCTTATTTTTTGGATCTCCTGCAGCTAGCTCCTGACTCCTAGTGGGGGCTCAGTTACTATTTGAGGAAAGGGAAAGGAAAAGAAAGAAGCGAGGAGCTCAAGAGGGGCCGGGGCCCGCAGCACCCATGTGTATGCTAGGAGCCCTCTCCGGAAAGCTGTCCCCACTTTCTCGTGGCCAGCTCCTTCCCATCTGTCACCCCCATGTCCGTTCAGTGTCACCCCTTCTGAGTGTCTGCATCCTTCCTAAAGGAACCACCAAATGGGCACACATGGACACACACACACACAGTAACCTTCTATCTTCCTTCCCTGATTTATCTATTTCTGACTCTTTGCTATCTGAAATTATTTTAGCTGTTTGTTTAGTTATTGTCTGTCTCCATCCATTATATGTAAGCTCCAGGATACCTTAGCTGTAGTATCTTAAATAGTGCCTGGCATGTGGTAAGTGCCTAAAGAGTTTCAGTGGGATGAATAAATGGAGAAAGAGGGTGAGGAAGGAAGGGAATGTCTCCTCTCCTCCCATGCCCTATTCAATCAACTTGTTTTAAATGTAGAGCAGTGAGAACCTCCAGGGAGAAAAAGGAAACTATTCTTCTGCCCTTTGCTGACCTGCCCCATGGCTCTTCAATGTAGACAGCAGGGTCCAGAAAACATCTGTGGTGGGAGAACAGGCGAGGGAAGTGGGAAGTGTCTCAAGCCACGCATCCTTCAAGATGCAAAGGAAGAATGCTGTAAGGAATGGGGTGGACCAGAGACTGAGCTGTCCCGGAGACGGTTCTTTCCACACCGCCCGCGTGCAGTAAAGGACCGGCTGAGCTCCAGAAAATGGGGAACACGGTTTGCACAGACTCCCACAGGCAGTTTCGATACATCACGGCACCTAGTGAGGCCTCAGAAGGGCCCGGAGTCAGCCCTGGAAAGCCAGGAGCCAGAGGCTGCAACTTTGCTTCTCGGCTGGCTACATCGTCATCTCCGCTTTGCTCTGTGTGTGCGTCAGCTTCCGTCTCTCCCTGCAGACCTCTGCAGGGAGCCAAATCCAGCTGCTCGGGAGTCCCGCAGGCCCATTTCCTGGTTCCAAGGGGGAGAATCTGATGGGACCAGCATGCGGCAAGTGTCCGCACCCCTTCTCATCAGCTGTGGGTTGGGGTCACTTTGTACAGGAGGTGGCAGTCAGTAGGGATCCGGGAACTGGGTATGTGGCTGAGAATCACCCCAAAGGACATTTACCATCTTTACCTTCGTCAACAGGTGGTGTATGTACTCCAGACTGATAACATCTGAGAAAGTTCATTGTCCTTTTTTTTCAAGTGTCCAGATATTTTCCATTTGTTTTCTCTGTCATTAACCCCCCCATCACCTAGCACTGGGAGCATGAAGTAGAAAACGCTTCCCTGTGAAATGTTTGCTGGGTCACTAGGGCATTAAACACTTGTTTCCAGGGCTCGTGGATCTAAAGCCACAATCATGAGTCAACGACAGAGAAATGTTTACCGCCCTAAGTTAGCCTAAAGAAGCCAAATGTGACAGAAATCCTGTGGGCAACTTTCCACCTTTCTCTTTCATTGATTCTGGCGCCTGAGAAAATAACTCCTGGAATGTACCCACTGAGTCCAACCACCTCAACAGAGCAAGATAGTGTGTCCTGAATGCACCAAAAACACACTTTTCCATGGGTAGTTATGAGTCCAGCACACGGCCTTATGCCTCTCTCGCTGACTACTTCTGACTCATTCAAATGGTTTGCTGGCTAGTGACCCAGGTGTATGTGATACAGGATGATACCAGGTGAGCTCATACCTTGGGTTTTTTGAAAACTTGGTATTTTTCAACAGATTTACCTTTGAGCAAAGTGTTCCTTTGTGGTGGAAAGTCTATTCGACAGACGGGGTTGGTGGGGAGGGTAAAACAAGGTGGCTGGAAGCAGGGAAGCTGCTGGGCACATGAATGTAAGATCTGTCATCCCTGTGAGAGAGACAGAGTTCCGAAGATGATGACTCCTTTGGAGAAATATTCCTGCCCAGGAAAATGTAATGCAGGTGTGTGTCCACCACTGTCCTGGCTTGTGGAGAGGTTTGGAGCCTGTTCTGTTGGGTTCCATGGTACTGCTTGCCCAGGTACGACTCCATGAAGACCCTCTAGGTGATCAAGACTTCGATCCCGGAGACTTTAAATGTTCTGAACTATTGGAAGGGGAGCAGCTGAAGGAAATCCTGGGGCACAGGTGCTTGCTTTCAGACCTAGCTAATCATCACTGTGCTGCAGGCAATGAGCGTTCCTCACCACAGGTGACTAGGACACCTAATCTAGGTTCTCAGGACAGGTGGAGGTCTCCACAGGTGTGGGCTACTGGGCCATGGGCCATGTTCCAGTGCAGCACAGCTCTCTCTCTTTCTGTCCTTGAGGTCCTTCCTCTCTCCCCACCCCCAGTCTGTGGAATCTTTAATCTGGGGGCGGAGCTCTATTTGTTCTTGTGCAGTGATGCATCCAGCTCTTTCTGTCTCGCACCTGTACCAGTGACTTTTGAACTTAAACATTACTATTTCAGCTCCTTTATTCTCTGCCTCAAGAGGAACATCCTTCCCCTAGAAGCACTGGATGACTCATATCTAGCTTTCTGGGCTGGGAGGAAGATCTTCAGGGTGCAAGAAAACCAGAATGCAGAGTTGGGAGGATTGTGGGTGTTGAGGGGTAGGAAAGAACACAGAAATGATTCCTTAAAATATCATCCCATTCTATATGGATTAGGCATTGTGCCCATAATATAATGCTTGTTACTATGAGTTTTGTGTTCTTGTTCACGTGGTTTCCTGCAGGGCTACACGACAGACAAGGGGACTTTACCCGGAGGAGAAAGCAGGAAAATGGGCTGGATTTGACTTGGTGTAGCACAGCGCAGACTGAACCGTGGATGTCTGGCTGCAGGGAGCAGATCTCGAGAAATGTACTATTAGACTACTTCCTTTTGTTTTTTGAAGACCATAACGCCAGACCTCACGGCCAACAATGAAGGTATGTTTTTCCCTTAAAGGGGTGTCCTTTCAATCATTTCTTGGGTAAGCTCACCTAGAGCTGAGTGAAGGGGAGAAAATAAGCAAGAAGCAAATAGCTTCTCCTCTTCCCTGGAGTGAGTCAGACTTAAATTCTGAGGATGAGCATGAGGGAAACCTTCCTGTCTGGGGAGGTGGGATTTGTTGGTCAGGATGGCCTTTCCTATGGGAGGTAGAAAAATGAGGGAGTGCACCCCCACAGGATGCCTCAGCACCCACCACGTCTTACTGGCCCCCTACCTGGAAGTTTAGAAACACACTCTGCTCTGCATATGGCAGCCAGAAGTACCAGGGAGTTAACACCCCCAGGGAAGTGTCAGTCAGGGATGGTTTGGAACAATTGGATAAATGTACCCAATTTCTTCAATCCTCAGGACAATTCTGAGGCATGGTCTACACCATTACTGTCCAACAGAAATATAATGTAAATCATTGTAATCCTCATGTAATTTTACATTTTTTTGTGGACACATTTAGAAAGGTAATATGAGGCAGGTGAAATGAATTTTAATAAAATATTTTATTTAACCCATATATCTAAAATATTATCATGTCAATATATAATCGATATAAAAATCATCAACGAGATACCTTACTTTTTTGGTACATTTTTTTTTGTATGTTAGAAATCCAATGTGTATTTTACATTTAGAGAACAGCTCAATTCTGATTAGACACATTTTAAATGCTCAGCAGCCACATGTAACTAGTGATTCTCATACTGGCCAGGCCAGTTCTATACTCTCTCAAAGTTTCCCAGTGCGATTGAGCCCCAGTTGCCTACGGTGGTAAATCTTTGTATTGATGCACCCTACTTAGACTTCCTTCCCTTCGCCGAATGACTTCTGCAGTCTTTTACCAGTGCTGCCTGAGGTCATCTGCCAAATGAACCACTTGCGTCCATATCCGTGCCTCTGAGTCAGCTTCTGGGGACCACAACCTGAGACACGATGGCTCTAAGCCTCTAATCTCTAAGGGTAGCCACATCTCATATTAGTTGTTAAGTTGTTCTCAATTTTGAACTTTCCTCGGGGTAAATACTTGCTAAAAGTTACAGCAAGGTGTGTTCTATGCCGTGACAACCTGAGGGAAGGGTTTGTTCTTGAGCCTCGATAGCAAAGGACAGAACAATGTCCCCTCCCCGGAGGCCAAAGCGGAGGTAACGGTAGCAGTGGCCATGGAGATAGCCATGCCCAGCAGAGGGGCAGCTCCACGAGGGTCACTGGCAGCAGTGTAGCTGAGTGACAAGGAGGTTGGGGCAGAAGACCACAAGGGACTCTTCGCTTTCACACAAGATGGTGTTGGGGACCCTCAGACAGGCCAGAGGACGGTTTCTAGCCCCCCAAACCAAGGGGAGGGTGTACCAGCTCTTACAATTTTATATTTAAAAAGAAATGTAAATTTCTGTAGGC